AGGTCTTCAAAGTTGTGATTGTAGACGGGGCGCCCGCGCTATTTTTATGTAATTATTATTATTTGAAACAACGCGCTGATTGGTGTAATGGAGATACGATTTTTTTGTATAACACTTTCACTTTTCGTTCTCACGATTAAGCTATCGAGTTAATTTCCGAGTAGTTTTTTTCGGGCGTCTCATTGTATTTTTGTTATAAATACGTGTAATGGATCAATTATAATGATTATGTTATTATTATGTGAATTTTGTTTCCAATTTACAATTTGATGTGACGTTTAGTTTCACTGTTGACACGTTTTGGTTGATTATTTTTATTCAAAAATGTTTTAATTTGAGTATTATTAAAACTAGTAGTATTCTTGATCATTCATATTATTATTAAATGTGTCTGAAAAACCTTAACAAATCGTTTTATTTTTCAGAGGTAGGTAGTTTAATTTTGTAAAAATGTATTTTAAAAGCACGTCTTTTATCGCAAATTTTCTATAGAGTCATTAGGTCATCACTTAAAAACGTTTACGATGTTTATGTCCCGTAAATCATCTGAACATCGCGTAAGAATCGCAATATAATAAAATTCTAAAAATAAACGGCGCATCTTACGAAACACGAAAGAGAATGAACGCGGCGTTTTCAAAACCGTACTTCGCATACTGATCTATAATTGTCGGTTGTAAGATTGTAATACACTATAATTATACTAAACACGATCATTAATGTGTTACTTTATAATTTGGTCCAATAGAAGACTAATTGAGCCGTCTCGATCGATGACGGGAGGGTATTGATGGACATGAGAAAAGATAGTTTTTTTCGATGACTGATACATTTCAGTCTAATTAATAAAAGCTTTATAGCCTCGTATGGAACTTACGGTATTTTGGTTTTGTTAATTTTGGTCGATGGTTTAATGATTGCTATCGTGGTTTAAGAGGTGTTTTTAATCTTTTGATCTAGTTAAGAAATTATAGTATTATAGATTGGATTTATGAGGTCAATTTTATTACTAAAAATAAAACAGTTTATCAGCAATTGAAGGTAAAGGCACATGCTAGATGCATAAACTGATACTTTCAGGATTTTTGTACATCGTACTTATTATTTTTTAAATACCTATTGTTTTTTGTCAAAATTACTTCAAATTTTTATAATATGAAATCGCTATCTTTGTTTTACCTAATATTTAAAACTTACGGACCACTTTTATTTATATTGAAAGTTCGCATAAACTATTTATGGCATCACGTTGGATCGTAAAAAGTGTTATTTATTGTGATCGAAACAACATAAATTGGTGTGAAATATTATGAAAAGTAGAATTGCAATTAAAATTAACAAAACACGTATATTTATGCAAATTGTATTTCACCGTTAGTTATTGTTTATTTTTGTTATTGACTAAATCATTAAATACTGCAACAAAAGGTAAATATTCAAACGAAGAAACAATAAATTCATCATTGGGGTAAATATTCATAAAATAGATTGAATCAAGTTTCATAATTTATATCCCCAACTAAGAACTAACGATAATTGAGTCTTATAGTTAAGTAGGGTAGTTCTTATAACATGGTGTTTTAATGCAACAAAGATGAATATACTTTTGACGACTGTATACAACAACTAGTCCGTAAAATCTCATTGACAAGAACTTTCTTCATCAATTCTACTCCAATTGCAATAGAACGATGCCGCCATATCTCAAAGCCGATACAATCGAACCTGCCGATGCGAGTTGCATTCCACTAATTAAAACCGCCAAATCATCCGCGTACATTGGAATTAATAACTCAAAAAACTTCCAAAAGAACCGTCCCGGTATTCTTGAGGTATAATTTATCATTTTATCTTTCCGATTGTGATCTGAGACGATAATGGTGGCGGCTACCGGAGTAATTGTTAGCGCCGGAGGGTTAGCTTCTTTTGTTGGACGACTCTACTCATAGTTCGATTGCGTGTGGTACCGATTTGGGTTTTTAGAAAGAGTTTTGGTATCTACAGCCTCAAGAACATAAAAATTAAAACACAGTTTTGTTGAAAAATTGCACCTATCAAAAGTACATGTATAAGCATGTTATGACAGTATTTAAATTGATGTGCCATCGAGCATATTAAAAATTTCATCTAAGTTTGAACAGAACAAAATAGCAATGTTATTTTTAACCACAGATTTGTCGAATTAAAAACCAAAACTTTCATAAAATATTTTAAAAGATGATAAATTCAAGATTCATACAGCTAATACGCGCATTGTCCTAAGACAAAGTATTTTTTATACACACTCAATTCTAAAGACCATAGCAGCTATTTAGCGTCTTATTAATCAATCCTAGCATTTCAACACTTTTTCAACACAGTAGGTAGCAACAAACCACAAAATATCACACGTCTACCGTTTGAGGCCACAAAAACAGAGGTTGTGTGGGTCAAACCAAAAAAATCTATTCACACCAGCTTTCCTACTTCATTATCTGTACCCTAATGATATCCAATCACCGATAAGACACGCTCGAATTTCAATAGACGGACTGACAAGCTGAAAATCATAATAAATGTTTCATATTTTGGATGTGATGGAAACAATCGCTCGGTGGTTGTGGGATGAGCTGTAGCGGGGGCGTTGGCGGTAACGGTTAACAGTGCCATAGAGTAATGTAACTAGTTATAGTGCCAATTACATAGTGATAATTTTAATACATAAGACAGCGGCAGAGGCTGGATGAAAAAAGCGAGAGTCATAAAAAGTCTTAAAATTCATTTATTTTCGACAAACAGGCTTTATTATTTTATATTTATTAGATGTTATGCTTTGTGGCTATTTTCACATGGATTAGGTACGTCTAACAGTGAACTGTCATTAAAAGAATTCATGAAAAATTATCAAATGATTAATGATGGAGTCTGATGATGAAAAACACACAAGTATTTTCGTTCAGATTATTATAATTATTTCCTTTTTGATGATCTAGCTCATTCTAATTGTTTTGTAATTTTACTATGAGCATGATTTGTTTAAATTTCTTTTACTTAGACCACACCTAAATCAGAATTCGGTGGCAGTGTATATGATTGATTTAAAATTTGAAACAAATCACAAAGTGATATTTGACAGCCGATATTTATTATCGTGGCTCCTTTTTTATTGTTCACACGTAACACTTCAATATCTGATTATTACCGTATGATACGATTGATTTGAAATGAATTTGATAAAGCTTAATTAAGTTTAATAGGTACACTAAATCTAAATTACCATTATGATATACATAATAAGAACTATCTATACTGTACTCGACTACTCGTATACCATTTTTAGTGCAGAAATAAAAACGAATACCTAATTTTTATCTTGTCCCCCTTTTGTTAATCAATGTAGGGATGTAATCAATAGTTACCTAATTAACTATACTAACTAAACTGCTTAGTTTGGGTCTCACTGGCAAATATTTAAATAGGTTAGTATCTAGTGTAATTTTTTGTAATTTTGTAAGGAATATGTACCTATCACTTTTCTTTTTTTTTTAATAAACATTTAATTATTATTAAATTAATTTAAAGTTTAACTCCAGCACTTAATGCTTTTGCCTTTAATAATATGGCACCAATAGAAACCAACATCCTTCATCAAACTAGTTCAAAAACCACCGACCAGCACTTTCTTTACAAATTAATATTTTAAACAGGAAACATTATTCCGCGTGTAATTACATAGAATCATATTTTATAATTATAAAATTTGATTTATCAAAATCAGTCGGTGAGAGACCTGTCATTGAGGCGCTGATTGAAAACTATAAATTAGACGGGGAATTGATCAAGTGGTCGATGATCAAAGAGGTGCTTGCGTGATCAGTGGTTTGTTTTCGTGGCTAGAATGAAAGTGAAGACTTATTTTTAACTTTTTCTTCAATTTACAACTCAAAGCTTTTATTAATATACAGGGTGGAAACCATATCTTACTCGATAGTAGTAGGNGAACCCAATTCCCTACTACTCTCGATTATTTCTAAACTTTACAAGATATCCAAAACTGTTAACTGACCCTGAAAGTGCTTCACGAGATCTATCCAACGGTACCAATAAAAAGTTACAAAATAAGCTGGATCTATCCGAAAATTAGAACAACAGAGTAGGTATTTCTCAGTTAAGAAACACCGGCTTTTTATCCCCTAGCCAGTGAAGGCAATATTTTCTGCTTGTTTTGGTTGGCAGTAGAGCTTATTCATAGTTCGCCTAGTTACCTTTTAGCTAGCTGAAGCTCACTTCCACTTCATACGGATCATCACTTTCCATCAGGCGAAATGCAGGCAAAGTGTCCCCTTTTCAGTGAAATATGATCGATGGTCTGATCCGGTTGAATAGATTTAAAATTAGACGTCTTAGGTCAGTCATTGAAAATATTGCACAAACTGAACATGTGAACGTATAATGTGTACTTGAATGAACTACGCAGTGATAAAGACGTTTTGAAAATGAAATATTATTACTAAGTCGGATTCAGATGTATTCCTTCCTAAGACTAGGCGCATTCCACCGATTTTTCATTATTTTTCAAATTAGAATCGAACGCAACTATCGGCCGACAAAAAGTTTGTAGTCTTATCTCAATAACTTTTGTACAAGGCCCTGCCATATAAGATGCCCTAAACCAAACAAACCGATATCCGTTGGAAGTTTAATCTAATTAAATCTCGCGGGGCGGCGATAGTTCATGTTATCTCGCGCCGGGTATCGGCCATTACGGTAAGACACAGTTCCACACTACGACGGTCAAAGTTAATGAGGTTGGACGGTCATGGGAGGAGCGGGGAGCGTTTTTACGCCTGACCAAAATGTCTTGTGCAGCTCAGATTCTACGTGTTGCAGCAACGTTCCCAAGCTGCCCCGAAATATCCCTCGGTGTTACGCATAAGCCACAGCGACTTTTTGTAGCGATGCAGTCGCGCTGCTGTAGCGCGTTCGTAGCGCGTTGGCATCACTTCTGTAGTGCGTTGAAAATGCGACTAATAGCGATGCTGTCGCTCGTTTACGAAACTCGCGACAAAAAGTCGCTGTGGGCGAGGGACCTAACATTCTACGTGACCTGGGACATGTTTTGTGTTGACGCTCTACGGATAAAACAGTCTCCAGGAATGTTTTCCAGAAATATAACGCATGATGTTTGATTATAGTGCTTATTCAGTAGCCATCTCCCCTAAATGGTACACTGTGTAAGCCAAGAGCATGTCATGACCACTGTGTTTAACAAAATAAGTAACTTGTGCCGCGCTGTCTCTGAATTTATAAATAAAATAAAAAACTTAGGACTTACTTACCATTTCAATGTCGAAGGGACAAAACATTTTAAAGAGATGTCCCATCGAGTAAAGGTGTGCCTGGATGGTGTGTTTTTCCCAACGTTTGGGTGTGAATCGTTGGGAACAAGCGGTCCTCCTGACCCATTTGGTCAAAATGTAAATTCAAAGCGGCATTATTGCCCGCTGCCCGCTCCGCTCATCACAGCGCTCCACACCTGCGCGCGCGCACCTTGCATCGGGCAACCTTTAACAACATTAAGATAACACCTTACTTATAGTTGCCAGCCGTTGTGATCGCCGATATTTGGTGCTAAGTGTTCGGCAAGTTCGGTTCTACTGAAAATATTATAGTTATTGCCTCTGAATGGTGGTCTTATCGGGCCACTTAGTATCATCATGTGGTGCCTTTGTTAGCAGCAATGTTATGAGCTGTTAGAAACTGTAATTTGTGGAATGGTGGAGTAAATAATACTCTTTAGTGGCGATAACGTTTTAAGAATAAGATTAGGATATTTTTTTTATCCACAACGAGGAAGCTCTTGACCTGTATCTCACCTGATGGTAAGTGACGATCAGGCCGAAGGTGGAAGCGAGCTTCACCCGGAATCCTCAACCACGGAGGAACTGGCTATCTTACCTCTAACTGCCGGTTTTATAAATGTTTTATACTTAAAGCACCTGTCTGATCTAGCCATTAATAATATACCATGGAAGTATAATATTTGACTACTCTTGTACATAATGCAAGGATTGTGGCATTATGTACAAGAGTAGTCAAATTGGAATTGAATGACGTTACATTTGAAGGAACTACGGTTATAAACAATAATACTGTAAAGTTTCATCAAAATCCGTACTGTAGTTTTTGCGTGACAGAGTAACAAACATCCAAATTTTCGCATTTATATTATTAGTAGGATAATAAGAGCTATTTTGAAACATAATGTTTAGTCTGATATGTGACAAAAAAGTATAATTCAAGAAGATTTTACAAATATCTCACTAACCATGAGCAAAATATTATAATCGATGTTAGTTTCACAACAACTTCATCCAAATGCCACCAAAACTCTACATAAACTTCCTCAAATTGCATTTAAACCATTCAAAAGATCTCACCTAAACAAACTCACGCGTATTCACCAAAACTATTAGAGGCTACATTCCATTACCGGTGATAAGAGCCAATAAATTTATCACGGCGGCTCACGACGCATAAATCTCACAATCTACGGCACAATACGACACCGGCTGTGCGATGACCCCGTACAATAAAAAATGGCTGTACCATACAGTCTTACGAAATTTGGGAGGCGCCTAGTTAGGAACGCAGAGCGGGCAATTGTTTTTAGTCAACAAATTAAAAAGAGGATTTCACTGTAAAACATAATTATATTCTTTAATACAGAGGAACATAGAATGTCCTTCTCTTTAGATTCGGTTCATACTGTGAAGGTACTTTGTGTACGGGACTATTCCCACCTCTCGTTCCCACCGCTGCAACTTCTGTGTAGCCAGGATCTGCAGCTTGACCTCCAATAAAACCCAACCAGTGAAGGTCAATTGAGGTTTTTACTGACAAACTTTTGTCCCGGGGGAAAATTAAACTGTCAAAGGTACTTAGTGTAGAAACAGGATATCTACATCGACCAAAAATTTTGAAATAAATTCTAAGTGACTTTTATCAATCAAAAATACAGCATTACAAGAGGAACAAACGAATCGATTAATCCAATAAATGTAATTATTAAAACGATTTAACTATAACGAAGATTTTAAGCCACTTTAATTGTGAAGTAAACAAACAATACTATAACAAATCCAAAGCTAAAAACACCGAACAAAATAAAGAACTGCTCACCACTTAAATCAATAACTCGCTACGATAAAACCATCTTTATTTTCAAGCAGGAAGTGTCCACAAAATTAATAAGCCAGTTATAATTTCAAACAAACATAAAAAGATCCATAAAACCAGTCGTCGTGTCGCCACCGCTCCTGACTGGCTGCCTCGTGCCGGTCAGATAAAAAGGGCATAAATATAAAAGAGGCATAAACCAGCCGAATTAATTAACAGAGATTTGATGTGGAATACGACATTTCACTGACGGACGACAAATTCTTGCGATAAAGTCATGCGAGAGTGAGCAATTCGGCGATTAATTTTAAGGTTGAGAATGAGAGCAATATGGCGCTTCATTTTTTACTGGTTTGTGGTGAATGCGTTTGAGTTGAAGGAGGTTTTGTTTTTAAACTTTTTTTCTTGATAAAATAAAACTTTGTTAGAGATTATACTCACGTAACATAAACCTGACTAATTGAAAAAGAGTCGTGAAAAGCTTGATAATATTTGGACAAAAAGAAAAACATAACAACTAAGTACTTGAGATTTAAACATCTAAATAGTTTCAGGTATACGGTCTACTTTACTTTCTTACATTCTACTCTTTCTAGTTAAAAAAAAAAAAGCTGGTGTGCCGATGCGGTTGTAATCCAAAGTATTTACTCATAATAATACTTCAAAACTAACGTTAATTATAATTGTTCAATCTAGCATACCACCGTCCCGCCCACGCGCGAGCGCATCTGATAACTATGCTAATCGTCAGATATTATGTTAATATCTGCTCATGCAGTTGATACCGCGTAAAATACAGTCGACAGCACATAAGAGTATATTTTTATTGCAAAATGGCACTTAAAATAAGCATATTAGGCGCCACAGAGCTTAACTCGATGTGAGGTTATACAAACCTGATTGCTTATCTCTAAAACTTAAATCGTGAACCAAAGCTCACAGGTTGCAATATGCCGAATAAATTAAGTGAGTGATTTTACAAAACAGTCATTATATTCATACTAATGTGCGCGAATGTTTTTTTGTCTTGTAAATGTCTTGTTGTTCGTAACAGCAACTAACAATAGTTTTAGTTTTTAATATGTTTTTTCTTTGTTTCTTTGTAGAACGCAACTGTTTGATTACTAATTTAATAGACTGACCGCATCAAGCATTGCAAACAAACCTCAGTGGTTTATGCCAATGCATTTAATTGTAATATGTTTAAGAACTTCCTTTGTAAAATGATAATAAATGAAAAAAAAAAAAAAAAATAGTCACAGAGCTTTAATCGACTTTTAATCGATTTTAGTATTGTCACAAAATAATGACACAAAATTTAAAAAATAATATTTTTAAATCTTGTCTTCTGAATAACAATGAAGAATGTATAATTCAATCAATAAGTAATCTTCAATCTATTATGCATACGACGAATACATTATGCATTTTAAAACAAATTAATATAATAACTTTACTGCATTCTTATCGCATTACAGCATCCAAAACAACGCTACAATATCACACTTTTATTGTATACGCTTGTAATAGTGACGTAACACATAAAGTCGGTGTCGTATAGTCACCACCCGTGACGAGTTGCTGAATTAAAATTGAATTTAAAAACTTGTGAATAAACAAGATTTATTGTTCTTAAAATGACCGTGGTGGTCTCTACATATTCATGAATAAACAATGTAGAGTTCGGAAATGATTCGAGTACGAAGGCACTATGAATATGTTAATGCATTTTTGAATTCTTCCTGGATGTTTTACTACAATGTCCATGTTTTTGGAGTACTTTAAATGTTCTTTTCATAAGGAAAAATAATTAAAATGTCTTATTTTGTCTAAAAAAGTCTCTAAAAGCTTAACTTTCTTAATAAGATAACAAATTATTCATATAATAATGTGTTGTCTTATTTATATTTAAATGACGTCTGATCTAAATTATAACCTAGGTAGTAAGTGTTTTTGACCTTTTATAATACATTTATGCCCGTTTTCACCATCAATCCCTAATTTTCAAGTGACCCCTATGTAACCAAAATTCCTGTTATTTGTAACCATAGGGTTCACTTAAAAATTAGGGATTGATGGTGAAAACAGGTATTAGTGTATTATAATAATTGAGATTGCGGTTGTTACAGCTTATTTTAAACTATGACAAATGCTACATTTATATAAATTTTGTTTTAATATAAATGCAAAGTTTTTTAATATTTATATCCATTGAATATAATTTGAATATTGAAATGTAGTAATTATTATGTTTATAAGTATTATATTGATGTTAAAATATCGATTTGATGGTCAATAAAGATGAATGACTATTTTACATAATTATTCTAATGTCATAATGATAATCAATAATCATATACCTACAGCTTCGCTAATAAAGCTATTTCAGGAGAAATTTAAAATTGACCTAGGAAATAAAAATACACCCACACAAAATAAAATATAATACTATGCAGACAGATTTGCGACAGTCATAAACAAAAAACACTTTATAAGTATGCAAACATTTTTATAACACTTAAAAACAAAACAATAAAATGCAAAACATTGACTTTACTGCTTATATTTAATTTAAAAGTAGTAAAAGTTATAAAAAGTAGTTTCTTAATGTTAAACCATTTATTTATGCTATAAATTATTTTGATCAAGGGCATGTCTTTATTTATATTATTTTTATTTAGTTTCGTTATTTTTTACCAAAGAAAATTTTAAACGGTGAATTCGAAAAACACTATAACCTAATTATTTTACATAAAACATATTTCACTGAAACCTATTTTAAATAATTAGAATGGACTTTTCGTAATAGTACACATCTTAATATGCATTTGCTTGTATAACAAATACATATTAAGATGCCAAAGTGTGTACTTAACGTGATATTATCATCTGTACATACATTTTATCTAATAAGTATATGGCATAACTATACAGATCTTAAAATTACTATATTTTATTGCTAATATTTAAGTATCAATATTAATGTGTTTATGAAATACTGTCA